CCTTGCTGGGTGGGTGGGGGGCAGGGTCAGCAGTGCAGGAGAGAGGTCGGAATGGAGAAGAAAGCTGTCCGGTGGGATGTGCAGAGCTCCCCGTGGTCGGGGCGATGGAAGCATGGAAATGCGGCACTGGAGGGGACACCGAGGGAAAGACCCGCTGCCTGGCCACGGCCGCCCAGGCCGGGGCTTGACCTGCACGTGGAGGAAGCTGTTGCAGAGTCCTCAGTGAGCCTGTCTCATGCTCTGAAGATGTAGCCGCTCAGAGGTCTCCTGCCGACCCAGGAGGGAAAGTCTGGTCCCAAGACCTTCCCTCAAGTTCACTGAAGGATGTTCACAAGCACTGACTAACCAGGTCACTTCGGAGGCCCCGGGAGGGTGGCCAACGGCACAGCCCCTCTCGGTCTTGCATCCTCGTGGGGGGCAGACGTGCACCAAACCAACAGGCACAGCACCTGCCGAGCCAGATGGTAAAGAGCCCCGGGGACGATCACGGCGTGTCACGGAGCCCTCCAGCCCCAGAGGCAGAGGTGGTGGTCAGTGTGGCCTGTGTCCTCTAATGATGGCTGTAGGGTCATTAAAAAGGACCAGTGTGGTTGTGGTCCCTCCCCCCGGTCTGCTGAGCACAGGGCTGTTTTTCTTACATGCCCACCAACCCCTGAGTGTACCTTGTGTCATTGGAACTGGAGCGGGACTTGGCCACGGAGCTCCTCAGCGTGGGCTGGGGGGTACCACAGCTCCCAGGCCCCCCAGGCTCCCCGCCATTTCCCAGGGTCCCTGCTGATGGCCTCAGGTGGGTGCCACTGGCCCCGTGGGCTTGGGCTCCACACCCAGATGTGCATGTTTGGAAAAATTATTCAAGGCATTTTTTATTGGTGCTAAAACTGACGTGATCGTACCTTGTTGCATTCTTTATTTTAGGTTGTTGTTTGGAAAACTGACCTGACCTGGTGACCAATCCCTCTGACCCCCAACCCCCCAGACTGACCCAAGCCTAGGGCCTCACCTGGCCGTGGCACTTCCACTGTTTAGGGCAGTTCATGGGTTCCTACGTTTAATGCAAAGCAGGCACCCACTGCCGGCCCCTGAACCAGGTGTTGGGTCGCCCCGTCGCCTGGTCACTCGGCCCTGCCTGGACCCGCACGCCTGCTTTACGGTTACCAGTCTGTGCCCATCCCCAAATAAATAAATCAGCCCGCTGCGGAGCTGCCTTTTATCACATCCTTTCTCTCTGCCCAGTAAACGCGGATGGAAATACGTCCTTTGTTAGGTTCCATTCATTTCCAAATGTGCGAGTTTTCAGATGCGTTATAAATGAGAAGGGGAGAAGCTGCCGGACCGTTTGTCAAGCTGTCATATTATTTTATTTATCGCCCCCTGTCAATAGAAAAGTCCGGAAATGTATGGAGATAAAAAATGGAGGCTCCTGTGGAGATAAAATTGTGAAGGGGGACCACGCCGTGTTTCCTGCCGCCCCTCCCTCCTGCTCGTGGGCGGCCGGCCATAAGCGTTGGGTCCACGGGTGTGCAGGCCTCTCGGGGGCAGGGAGGGCTCTGTCCACTCGGCCCGAGGGTGCCCCCCCTCCCCGCCCCTCCCGCACCGTCGCACCCCTGCGGGATTAGGGGCAGCACCCTTCCTTAGCCACCTCCTCGCAGGACACATGACCAGCCCAGAGATGGGGTGCCCACTCCACCTGTTGGGGAGCTGGGGGAGCCGAAATCAAAGAGCGAGCTTGAGGGAAGCAAAAGGCAGGGTTGGGGGGACTTTCTATTTAGCGGGCAAGATTTTCCCGGTCGGGAGAGGACTGTGCTGTTCGTGTCGGTTTCCACCATAAAGTGCATCTTCAAAGGGCCAGCTCTGCCTGCAGACGGCGCCTCTGGCGCCCTGGGGTGACCCGGCCGCCTGCTGCCTCCCGCCTCCCACTGGAGCCGGTTTTAACGAGGAAACAGTCATCGCTGTGGGTTCCTGGAGGTGTCTTTCTCTGTGTGTGTCTCGGTCTCTTAAAAACTGGCCCCCCGGGGGCTCAGCGTTACAGGATTGGAGCACTGAGATGCTGGCCCCCCAGGGCAGCAGGAGGCCAGCACCCCTGGGAGGTGCAGGTGCAGACGGGAGGGCACCCAGCCCCTCTGCCCGGCCGTTAATGATGCAGGGCAAGATCAGACTCGGAGCGGCTGCCAAAGAAGAAGACTCGGAGCAGCACCTGGTTTCCTTTCAGTGGAAAATCCCGGAGCCGCACTGGCGGCCCCCCGGGGAGCAGCAGCGCCTCGCTGTGCCTGGGGGAAGGTCGGGATCACGAAACACGGGCCAATTAAGCGCGCGGTCACCCGCGGGGACAGGCTGAGAACGGCCGGCCGCCTTTCCCAGACGCTGAGCTGGGCAGCCGAACAAAGGGCCGACCCAGCCCTGCCACGGCCCCGGCGGGCTCCGTGGCGCACAGAGGGCCTCGTGGGAAGGCCGGGGCTCGGACCGAGGCCACCCCGGTGCCCACCCTCTTTTTCTGTCTTTGAGCCGCCTTTCCTCCCGTCTGCGGGGCGAACACCTGCCCAGCTCCAGGACCTGCTCAGCCTCCCCTAGAGCCCCCCCAGCCCCACAGCAGCCCCCGCACCTGCCGTGCCCGGCTGTCCCCCTCGGACCCAGGCCACCTGGGCCACGCTGACCTCCCGCAGGTACCCCTGCGTGCCCAGCACCCGTGCAGTGCCCGGGAACTGAGAGGGGTGCTCGGCCGCTGTCTCCCGCAGCGATGATGGTCCCCCGATGCTGACGGCCACCGGGCTGTTTGGAGGGGACCTGACCCCCCTCTTCATTCGGCGGCGCTTCCCCGCAGAGCGGCTGTCTCAGGGACACTGTTTCAGAGAAAGCTCGTGGCGCACACGCCCCTCCTTATTTCAGAGGCGGACAGACCCCCCACCGTCGGGATGCGGCCGTGGGACGGGAGCGGCCCCAGGAGCCGGCCCCTGCCCCGCTGGGCCGCCAGGGCCCCTCCTGTCCTGTCCGGATGCCGGCTGCCTGAGTTCTGAGTTTCTGCAACTGTTACCTCGTCTGGTCAGCGCGGATCCTGGTACAGTTGAAGGCTTCTTTGAAAAGGCAGCCCTGAGAGCGGCCCAGGTCTCTGCTCCTTGGTTTGTTTCTACCTTTTTCTCTCTGTTCCTGCGGGTTTAGACCTCGCCGCACGCTCTCCTGGGCTGGGATGCCCTGCGCCCCGAGAGCCCCAGGCTGCTTTCCTTCCTCACTTCCCCCAGCCTCGCCCCCCCC